GAAAGCTAAGAGTGGAGGTCGCGCTTTATCACTATATTCGAGAGGTTGGAGGTCTCAAGAAGAAGTTTCTCCTCTGCCCTGAGGGCTTTTATAAGAGCGCTCTTGCGAGATCGGGCATAACCGCCACTGGGTCCCTGCCACAGCCGTTACCTACCAGGGCTGCGCAGGTGGCCGTTGTGACGTACTCCTTACCCGGGCGAGTGACACGTCCCCAAAGTGACAGGCACGCCTCCGTCTACTGAGAGACGTGGGCGCAGACTGTCGAAAGGATAGGGACTGCGCCGTCAGTTAGGGACGTGGCCCAGTCTGACTGGTACGGCCTATTAAATAGAAGCTTCCTGAGGAATGCTCGTGTGGCCCATTCGCGAGCTACTTTGCAACGAGCTTCAAATACTTCAGAAGTACCCTTAATAGAATTGGTCCTCGGATGACTTGCCTTGTTCGGGAGCTCGGGCGAGCTGGCTTTCTTAGCTCGCAAGTTAAGTTTTGCCTCGGAATATCCCTTGAGGTAGCTCGGGGGACCCGGAGCTCGCATTGTGGCGAGCCCCTCCTTTCCCCCGCTACCATGTAGTGAGCTGCTTTATGGGCCTATCACTTAGCCATACTGGACCACAATGCTGAGCTGTCGCTTATGCTGAGTCAGTGTCCACGTGTCGCCGTTTTATAGGTCGGGCCAAATCATCCTTCATCAGTCTCCATCCTAGCAAACTTGTTTGTGTGTAGAACAGTAATTTGGGTCTAAACCTATTTTTATTTAAAGTATTCCTTTAGAACAGTTGTGCCACACTTTTGTCTTTCGTTTCTCCCTTTTTGTTTATTTTGTTTCAGTAGCTGCTCAAGCTTGAGAGATGTGGTATATTATTTAATATAATGATCTTTCAACATTTTCTGTATTGATTTCATGTTTAGTGGGTACCCTTGTATGACAACTAGGGGAAGAAGTTTCCATAGACACACATGTCAATTGGGACTTACCCTGGTGTCTATGTATGTTTCCCTGTGCATGCTATAAGAGGCTTCATGTGGTAAAAAAATTTCTGCTTATCCTTATCCTCTGTTTCTTTGCATCAAAAACCATTGTTTGTGATGTATTTCCAACTTAAATTGTACAAGCATGCATCCATAAAGTCGGGTGGTTCTTGAAAGGTTATTTATTTTCTTTTTTCCCTAACTGAACAGTTGGGCAATAATGTGATTATCTGTAGATCCCTCACTCCAATGGCTTTTTACAGGCACAAATGCTCAGCATGCTTCAAGCAATACAAGAAAAAGGAGCATCTCATTGAGCACATGAAGGTGTCATACCACTCAATCCATGAGCCCAAGTGTGGGGCTTGTAAAAAGCACTGCAAATCACTGGAATCATTGAGGGAGCATCTTACAGGTGAGAACTGATTGCCTTTTTATAATCTGATTGGTGGTTGCTGCAGCCACATAATAACAATGCTAATGGCAAACAAAAGTAACTATTGTTATTATTTGTCTTCATGCAGCCTTAGAGTTATTGAACTACTAATGCCTGTCATGGGCATAATAATTCTAATTGTTATATTCATGTCTTTTGTTTATATTTCTTTCATATCTTGTCAAGGTCCATTGCCAAAAGCCAATTGTTCGAGGTTATTCGTTGCCCAAGGCTGTAATATTTGCTTGAACATCTTTGAGAGCCCTGATGCTCTCAACGCACATAAAGAGATGTGTATCTTTTCTTCCCCTGCTCCCATTGTAAGTTCAATAGATAGATTATTAGTTGATGAGTAAAATCACAAATTTCTAATTGAAAATTTTAGTTTTTTATGCTTCTTAAAAATTTGTTTTATTTTGAACTATAAAATATTTGCCAAAAGAAATAGAGAGAAAGTACAACACTTAAAGATTTAACCAAGGTTTTTAAAACCAGACTGGACAGGGAACTGTTTTGGGGACCGATTCCTGGTCGAACGGTCTACCGTCCAGTTTGAATGGATGACCCATTCTGACTTTAAAAAATAAAAAAATAAAAACGGCCAAAAACCGTTGTCCGGGTTGACGGTTCGACCATCCAGGTCAGCGGGTCGCTGACCAAATCAATGGTTTTGGCCAGAAAAAGCAGTTTTAGGGTGAAATGGAACTGGTTACCTGACCGGTTCCTGGGTTTTCTAGTCTGGTCTGGTTTTGAAAACCATGGATTTAACAGCAGCACATCACATGTACAATGATTACAAATTTTACAGATGGAAGTAAAAGGACTTAAATTAGTTGGGGATGGATTTGATTTTCTTCTTCAACAATTTATGGTGTGGAAGAATTTATTTCATTAAATATTGTGTCCTGCATGATGTGACATATTCAAAGATGAGTTTGACCAATCCCCATGGTTAGTATTCCTATATGTATGTGTGTTTGATGTGACCATTTATGTATTAAATTATTGTTCAATTTTGGTAAACTGGTCAATGCCCTTAAAGTCTTTCAAATTTTTATAGGGGCCTCTCAGAATGCCTTCCGTGGATTCTGAAATGGAAAATTCAGGATTGCCCAGTGTTGATAATACGAGCCAAGGTCCTCAAGTGGTTGCTATGGATTGTGAGATGGTCGGTGGTGGAAGTGATGGATCACTTGATCTTTGTGCAAGGGTGTGCCTCATTGATGAAAATGAGAAAGTGATCTTCCATTCTTTTGTGCAACCTTTGATTCCTGTCACCAATTATAGGTTTCCCCCCCTTGTCATGTCTGTTTTTTTATGAGTATCTTATCATGTCTGATTCCACCAAGTGATAATCTTGGTAGGTCTGCTTATCAATCTCATTTCACTTTTTTTTTTTTTCCTGCTGAAACCATCAGATATGACATAACTGGCCTAACAGAAGAGCATTTAAGAGATGCAATGCCACTCAACCAAGTGCAAGAGAAGATTCAGGAGATATTGTACAATGGGGAGGCCATATGGAGAATGCGAATGGAAGGGGGGAAAGCCAGACTTCTTGTGGGTCATGATCTAGAACATGACTTGGATTGCCTGAGAATGAACTACCCTGACCACTTATTGAGGTAAACACTACCCCCAGCATTGATTGGGCAAGTCCAATCAAATGAGAATGTATTGGGTCTTTATAGAATTGATAATGAAAATGAAGCTTACCATCATCAATAGACCTTTATTTTCATGTACATATATTGGCCCCTAATTCAAATACCTATCATTAGACAAGTGACCCATTTCTCAACAAGAAGGATGTGACATTTTATACAAGTTGTTAAATGAACAAGAACTTGCCTGATTTGTGCATTATTCAGGTTCTTTAGTTCATGGCTTAGTATAGCATCTTTTAGAGGAATGGTGTTCCTTTTACCAGATCTACTTTCTTTTTTTTTTTTTTGTCTTATTCTTACTTTTAAGACATCCTTAACTTTTATGCAGGGATACTGCCAAATACCGTCCATTGATGAAAACAAATCTGGTCAGCCACTCACTCAAGTACCTCACAAAGACATATTTAGGGCAAGTCACTCTTCTCATCTGTTCTTTACTTACCAGATTTTAACTTTTGTAGCAACCAAACTCATGGTCATCTAAGGGGGAAAATGTGAGGAATGAAAGTGGTAAAGAATTCCATAAAAATGTAGGAAGTCAGACATATAAGGGGGTTAGAAGAAATCACCAGATAAACAACAGGAAGAAGACATGAAGCTGCTAATTTAAATCGAGTCCTATTAGTTGGTAACCTTACAAGTTTTTGTAGCTTGCCATTGTCCATTCCCCAGATGTGTCCTTGTACTCATGCACTTTACAATTCTTCCATTCAAAAATAAGTTTCTGATTCCACCCAAGTGATCAGTCACCAGTTCTAATGGGAAGAATCTATCATTCTTAAAATGTTTAGCCATAAATGGTTTTTCTATCATTCTTAAATATAGAACATAGTGACCATTACATGCCAAATAAAAATATTATGCATGAAAGTTCTTGCTACTAAAGTTCCTAATAGATTCTTAATCATGGATCTATGGCTTTACAGATTTGAGATTCAGTCTGGAGTACATGACCCATACGAGGATTGTGTGGCTGCTATGAGGCTTTACAAGAGGATGAGTGCTCAAGATCATCAAATGGAAGGAACTTTGACACCTGATTTAACTCAGTATACTCAGATCTATACAAAAAGCTTTGATTCATGGAAGCCCAAGCAACTAGAGAAGATGTCCCCAGATGAACTTTTCAAGATTTCAAGATCAAGCTACAGGTGTTGGTGTTTGGATTCAAGGAAACCAACGGAATCCTGAGTGCTTGTAACTTTTCTTCTCCATACAGGAAAATGTGGATGTTCTTCTAAATAAATTGCAAAGGAATATGGAAAGGAGCTACGATTTCTTTGTTCATATTCAAGTTACATGTTCAAATTGACATGGAGGCTAAAGCTTGATTACAACAAAAGGCTGGAAAGTGGTAATCAACTAATCCTAGGGATGGCAATTATCAGATGATCCGATAACTGTAAATGCAAATGTATACCAAAGAAAAGGACAGTGTAATTGGGGTTGTTTTATCCAGGACAAAGGAAGAAACATTCTGATTTTTTATTTTCACTCATTTTATTTGTTGGTTTTACGTCCTTTATATTACAGAGCAGACAAGTCATTTGTTAATCAGTAACAAAGAAGCCCGGGCCTATTGGAAGCAAAAACTCTGCACACATGGCATCCAACCACACATCGAGAATATCTCCCTTACTTTAGTCTTGCATGTTAAATTTATGGGGAGATGTTCCTAATGTGCAGCTGGATGCCCATGTTAAATTTATGGGGAGATGTTCCTAATGTGCAGCTGGATGTCCATGCAAAGTTTTTGCTTGCAGGAGATCCCATTGCATAACAAGGACTATATGGTGCTCTCTACTCTGTACCACCAAGCCGTATGATGCTTCTCAGTTCTCATTACTATTTCCATGCATGAATTGCTTGCCCATATTCTGCCCGTCTGCCTAATGAACCCAACTACATATGAATTGGTGTGGGTGGACTAGTTGTATTTTGGTTGCATTTGTGCTGGTTTTAGTTTTTATATTCTTTGAGAGAAAAGATCAAAGTTGAAAACTTGACATGTTAAATGTATTATGTGATTTTGAGATTTCTAAGTATACAAACTCTGTTAAATAAACTGCACAAAAATGTTTGTTTGTTTTTTTTTTTTTTGATAGTTGAAAAGAGGATATATTAGAGAGAGAAACCATTACAAAAGAGTTCAACCAGCCCAGTGGAGATCCCCACCAACAAGATCTAGTCCTAAACAATTTGGCTTTACTAGCCACTTGCGCACAGATAGTCTTTGACCTTGGTTTAAATAAAAAATATACATTCAAAAAAGTTCGAGAGAAAGCACAAATTCCATAAGTGGCAAATGAATTTTTATCTTTAACTGCACAAGAATGGGAAAAATCAGGAGGGCAAACATTTTTGTGTGTGAACTGCACAAAAATGTTTGCCTTCCTGATTTTGCCCATTCTTAGTGAACCTGATCTTTGCAATGAAACCAAATCACTAAGTCATCAATCAACACCATGGATTACAAAGCCAATATAATCATAAGGTTCCACCTTATGAGCGTAATGTGCAGCTTAAAAGAGCACAAGGTGCAAACCAGAAGACCCTACTATAAAGTTATTAAGATGGTTAGGATCCTCCAGTTTAAGCATTTTTTTTTTTTTGAGTCAAGCTTTCTGATATGAATGTTCTTTGTTGGCGAAGCATTTAAGATCTTAGGGTCGCAAACGGTATCTCGATGTCCGAATTGGAATTAGATCTGATTATCATTGGATCGAATATGGATCCACCCCTAACTGATCCAATAATATCCTATCCGATTTGATTTAAATATATACTAGTTAGGACCTGTGCGATGCATGGGCTTTATTTATAAGCAAAATTGAGGATGGAGCTCTATGAAATTTCCAATTAAGTGGTGCCCATATAAGTTCAATTCAAGTATTATTTTTTGGGTTATGTCTAGTTTATCTAATCACAATCTAAGTTGCGATGAGAGGCCAATTTCCTATTCTCTAGATAAATTTGTATTATTTTTTTTGTATGTTAATTCTAATTTTTATATTTTTTGAAAAAGAAAATTTTATTGGTTTATTATTATTATTATTATTGTAATATTTTTAGTTAAAATTATAAAAAAACATCTAAATAACAATTCGATAAACCCACTTTTGTGTTTTGATCCTAACAATGGCCTCCCCTATAGTTTTGAAAAGAAAGTGTAAATACCTCATTTCCCTTGGCTTTTCAGTAATAAAAACATTAAAGTTGCCAAAATATTCTTATCTTTGTTAATGCATTATTATACACATTTTAAAGTTTCAACTTTACCCTTCATTTAATATATTTTGCCAAACAACTTTCAAAAAATAATTCTCCTTGTCTTTTTGGACAAAGTAAGACAAAAAGGCTGAAATGAAGTAAAATTACTGCATTACATCAACACCTTTTGTTAGGAATGTTGAAGAAAAGAAGATATATGCAACTTTTTTCAAAACAATAGTGGAGGTTTTTGTTAAGGTCAAAACACCAGGGAGTTTCATAGGATTGTTAGAAAACCTAAGGAGTTTTTTTATAACTTCCCTTATTTTTAAATGAAACTTAAATTGATTTTAAAATATTTGAAATATATTTAAAATTAACATTTTATATAATTTTGAAATTAGCAAAAATTAAATTTAATTAAGTATATTAAGTTTTTGTTAGGTTTAAATTTCTTATGAAATTTAATTAACTATATTAAGTTTTTATTTCTTAGTAGAACTTAAGTTGGTTCTAAATTAGTAAAAATTAATTATAAAACTAATAATTGTTAGATAATTTATATCAGTTTTATATTTAAAATTAAATTGATATTAGTTTTTTTATCTTATTCATTTTATTAATTAAATCTTTTTATTATATTAATAAAAATATTTTTATCAATAACAATAATTAACAATTATTTTATTCTATTAAAGTAACTTATTAAATTATTTTTATTATTGTTAATTAATTTTTATTATTTTCAAATGGAATATAAATGGATTATAATTTTAAATGGATTAGCGTAATAGTATATAATTTAATATCTCAATTTCAATATAATTAATCTTTACTAATAATGACAATTTAATGTAATATATGTAAAATTATAGTTAAATTGAAGTTGATATAGATGTAGATAAAGTTAATGAATTTTGTGAAATTTAATAGAGTAATGGAGATGAGAGAAAATTAGTGGCATAGTTGTTAAAGGAGAGAGTTAATGGCATAATCAATGAGGAGACATTATTAAAAGAGTTAATGGAGAGAGAGAGAGAGGGAGAATGGTGAGTTTATGAGGAGAGTTAAAAGTCTTAGGCCATGTTTGGGAGTGCTTATTCAAAATAAGTGCTTATTTGGGCCATTAAGCACTTATTGGTATTTGGGAAACAAGACCAAATAAGTGCTTATTTTAAAAAATAAGGGCTTATTTTTTAAGCCCAAAATTCCAACTTTTTAAAGTTCTTATACAATAAGCACTTTTTTTCCTTCAAAATTATCCCTAGTTGAATTTTAAAATACCACTTATAAAAGTATCCCTAGTTGAACTTTATAAAAGTAATTTTACGAAAGCACTTTTATAAAAATATTTTATGAAAGCACATTTATAAAAACACTTTTATGTAAGCACTTTTATGAAATTACTTATATAAAAGCATTTTATGAAAGTATTTTTATGAAAACACTTTATAAAAGCATTTTTACAAAAATACTTTTTTAAAAGTGCTTTCGTATGAAGGACGAAATAGTAACAAATGCTTATTTAAGTGCTTATTAGAGAAAAAGACTACCAAACACCCAATATAAAAATAAGTGTTTAATTTAAAAAATAAGCACTTGAAAAAGTTGGGTGCCAAATGCAAATAAGTGCTTATTCGAATAAGCACTTATTCTTAACTTAAACACTCCCAAACATGTTAAGGTAATTCACTTAAGTTATTTTAGTCAATTTTAAAATTAAAAAATTTGAAAAAAAAACAAAAAACAAAAAACAAAAAACAAAAAGATAAGTGCCTTTGAGAAGAAACCAAAAAAAAGTGACTAGAATACACCGGTAAGAAAGCAGGAAAGTGCCAACCTGGCAAATTCCATTTTAATATATAAATATAAATGTTCATAAATATTTAAAATTTATATTGCATGTATCAATAAAGTTGGTTTAAATGTTTTTTAAATCATTTTTAGTTTAATTTATCAATACTATTCAATATCCTATTCAATCCAAATTCTATTCGAATTCAACGTATAAAATCTTATTTGAATTCAAATATAAATAAATTCTATATTCAATTCGATCAGATCTGTTTGAAGCCCTATAAATATGTGATTATCCTAGATTTGGATGACGTGTTTATGTAGTCTGATCATATCAGAATTGACTCCATCCAATCCAATTAAAAATAGAATTCAACTATATATTATAATATTTATTATTTTTAATACATAAAATTTATATAATTATATTTAAAATTATAAAAAACATATTTGTATATATTATATATGAATTTATATATAATAAATTTAATATGTTATATTTACATAATTTATTATATATAAAAGTGAAAAATAATTGCATCTTTTATTTTGTATTTGTATTTAAAAAATTAAAGCGATTAAATCCAAATACGACCCAAATTGGTTAGGATTAGAATTTAAATTCGAGGCCTTCAAATCGGATCAGATTTGAGATTAGATTCGGATGCAAATTTTCGATGGATTAGATTTTACTGGTTCCGATCCGTTTGGGACCTTTTTTTTTTAATTTTAAAATTTTCCCGGGCAAGTTATTAGTTATTATAAGAAGGACTTCTTTTGAGTCTTTCTGCAAATTCCAGCTGCGTCGTTAGTCGAAGCCATTAACTGACTTTAGCTTTCACTTGAAATTCTTTCAGTTACAGCGGTTAAGGGATATATGTTTGTCACCGTGCGTTCTCTTCCATGTTTCTTTCCCTCCTGCGCAGCGTCGCCACTGTCACTCAGATCTATCAAATCCACGCCCAAATCATTGTGCAGAGTCTTCACCTCCACGACCAGCTTTGCGAAGCTAGTTGACCTCAGTTATGTTGACTATGCTCGCTCTGTCTTCGACCAAATCGTTTTCCCTTGCGATTACTGTTGGAACTCTACGATTCGAGGTTACACTAACAATGGTTTTCCTCAAGCATCTCTATGTTTTTACTCTAAAATGCATCGGGATGGCGTAAGACCGAGCAATTTCACTTACCCATTTGTCTTTAAGGCTTGCTCCACCCTATCCTTGCTCAAAGTAGGTGAGCAGGTACACGCTCATGTTGTTAAATTCGGCTTTGAATCTGACCTCTATGTCAATAATTCATTGATTGACATGTACTGTAAGTGCTCCCGTATCAACTCTGCTCACCATGTGTTGAATGAAATGCAAGAGAAAGATGAAGTTTCCTGGAATTCAATCATGTCTGGGTATGTTCACGGGGGTGAGGTTGAAAAGGCACGGCAGTTGTTTGAAGAGATGCCAGTAAGAAGGAATGTTATTTGTTGGACTAGTCTGATAAATGGGTATGGAAAAGAAGGGAATCTTGAGCAGATGTTGAGTGTGTTCCTCCGGATGCTTGTTTCAGACGACAACGTCAAACCCAACTCGGCAACGATGGTTTGCCTTCTCTCAGCTTGTTCAAGCGTCTCTAATCTCACCTTGGGTAGATGGATTTCAGTTTTCATAGATGTTAACGCGATCCCTTTAAATGTCATCTTGTGCACTGCTCTCGTAGATATGCATTCAAAATGTGAGGATGTAGAGAAGGCTAGGAGACTGTTCGACGTGATGCCTTGTAAAAATTTGGTTTCCTGGAACGCCATGATCACTGGGTATGTTCAACGTGGGTTGCTAGAAGAGGCAATCCAGCTGTTTTATGCAATGCAAACAGAGTCCGTGGAACCAAATGAGATCACAATGGTGAATGTCTTGTCGGCTTGCGCTGGTCTGGGGGCTCTAGAACTTGGAAGAGAAGTTCATCTCTATGTGGGTCAGAGCAGCTTGGAACTAAATGAGATTCTTGCAACTGCTCTAATTGATATGTATTCGAAATGTGGCAGCATAGACGATGCTTGCTTGGTTTTTGTCAAGACAACCAAGAAAGATGTAGCCTTGTGGAATGCCATGATAATGGGGCTTGCATACCATGGTAATGGGAAAGATTCTTTAGCTGTTTTCAGACAGATGGAGAGGGACAAACCGAACCCAAATGATATCACATTTATTGGGGTCCTATCAGCATGCAACCATTCAGGATTGGTGGAGGAGGGACGAGCTCAGTTTGATAAGATGGTTAACAAGCATGGGCTGAGTCCCAAGGTTGAACACTATGCTTGTATGGTGGATCTTCTAGGCCGAGCTGGGTACCTAAATGAGGCAATGGAATTGATAAAAGGCATGGTAGTGCCACCTGATTCAATAATTTGGGGTGCATTACTCAGTGCCTGTAGAATCCATCGGGATGTTGAATTGGCCAGTGAGGTTGGTGAAATGATGCTTTCATCGAAGGATCCTTATTTGGGTTTTTGTATTTTATTATCGAACATCTACGCTTCTGCAGGCAAGTGGAAGGATGTTGCAAGAGTGAGGAGATTGGTTAAGGAGAAGGGTATTAAGAAGCCTTCTGGTCGTAGTTGGACAGAAATAGATGGTGTTGTCCACAGCTTTCTTGTAGAAGACACAGCTCATATGCAGTCTGATGAGATCTATGAGACACTCCATGCTCTTGTTAAACACTTGAAGGTTGAAGGATATTTACCTAATTTCGATTTTGATTTTAGGCACATTGATGGGATGTGAAATTTTTTAATGAATAAAGAGTTTTGATTTACTTCTAATTTATCACTGAACAGAATTGAATGGCAAACAGGATTCATGTAGCTTACCCCATATAGCTTGGGACAAGGCTTAGATGATGATTTTACTAATTTAAAGAATTTGCAGGAAATAGATGAATAGATAGATACATAGAGAGAGAGACAGAGATGTGGATCCTCTTAACCAAGTCACTGCCTATAAGTGGCCTGTTCCCTTAAAAATGAAATATATGTAATATGATGGCCTCTTTCCTTGACTTTATTTACAATATCTAAAGCTTCCCTCGACTTTGATACCTCCACAGGATAAAAAATTTGATTGTCTATGTTTGACAGCTTGTGTTCTATCTGATACATTAATCCATATGAATTCTGTGCAACAGTAACGATGTTGAAGGCATGATCATATGAACTGACATGCCATTTGAAGAGAGCCTATGAACAAAACAGGCTGTCAAACGTGGACAGCCAAAGTTTTCTCCCTTTAAGGCTGCCTTCTTAGAGCACTCCAATGATAAAAACTAATATGCAATTTGAAGGGTATTGATTTACCCAATTTCAAGCCTTATTACATTACTGGTTTTATGCTCATCAGTGGGAGTACTATCAAGGATACTTGCATCCTTAATTCAAGGAGTGGAAAATTTTCCCATGGCCATGTGATCATTGAACAAGCCTAATTCTCCTCTCTTGTGCCCTAGTTTTTCTCTTAGTTATCTCGTTCTTGTCTTTATTAGTGTGGAGTGCCATAGACTCCACTATGGTTCGGTTTGTGAAATGATAAAAGAAAAATACAGATTTACTATACTACCTCTAATTCAGTGTTTGTTGTTAGCTAAAATATCATTAAATAATGGCTATTTTGTAAATGATTAACACACCATCACTATAGACAGAGCCGTTTGAAGAGATCGGTTTCCATAAGGGCAAACCTGTGCCCACACTGTACATTGGGAATATCTTCCCATGAAATAAAGCACATAAGTACGAGGATATTCTCAATGCAAGACAGTAAAGGCTGCTCGAACGGGCTTTGCCCTGACTGAAGCCGAACTCCTGCTTGAACCAACAAAATATATGAGCATCAGAACTATCCATGCATTCAGTAGTCCAGATCTGCTAGTAAGGAAACAACGTTAGGCACTTCACCATTTTGTGGAACCTATCTTCAACACATGTGAACTTTTAAGAAAACAATATGCAAAAATGCATTTTTTTTTTCATGTTTTAACAACAGGTGGTGTACCTAATGTTGTTTCATTACTTGTAGATCCTGACTCATTAAGGAGCATTCTACAATGTGAATTGCTTGTTTTTTGTTGTCTGTTTCAAAAATAAATTAGAAGAAACATGTTCTTCGTTGTGTATGTGTTTTTTGTTTTCAAAATTGAAACTAAAAACATGTTCTTGATTTCTGGTTTCGGAAACATTTTTTATCTGATTATTTAATATGATGTCCCATAAATCATATAATTTCTATACTGTAAAATTTGTTTTTGTTTTAAAAACTGCTATTTTGATGTTTCTAAGAACTTGTTTTATTTTTTTAAATAAAATTAACTTCAAAACAAAAACATAGTTCAAAAACATGTTTTTATTTGTTATTGATGTGACAATTTAAAAAAAAAATAAATAAATGAAAACAAAAAACAATCATGTTGTAGAACCTAGAACGCTCCCTAAAGGGGTGTTGGCCAGCGTGAATGATTTTGTTTTTAAAGACAAACTACTGTCATGTCAGCGAAAATGTATTGTTTTTAGGGATAAATTGACTGCACTCCACCTCAGAATTCTAAATTTAATTGCAGACCTACAACAATTCAAAATTATAAGTACCTCCACCTATAACACTCATACCCGTCCGTGAATTGACATCAATTCCGAGCTGGTACTTACCCCAACTGTACCGTGGAGCTAAGATTTTTAGGGGTGGACTAAACAATAAAAACCCCTTGTTTTTATTGACACGGCACTTGTTTTTGTTTCCTTGATGAAGTTTGCTGCTTGGATGGCCTTTTTTTTATATGCATGTTTATAGTTTTCTAAGTAGCTCTTGAGAATCAGCTATGATGACTCCAATGTTTCCAAGGGATTTGATTGAAATTTTTATAAGGGGGCCAAAGCCTAAATGAAATATAGATGGACTCATTGGGGGGCCAATCATTGAGTTGGACAGTGGGGGAGGGAAAATTTTACATAAAAAACTATATAAGATTTTCTGAACCATAGGGGGGGGGGGTGCATGGCTCCCCTGGGTCCCCCATGGCTCTGCCCCTGGTTGTGTTTATGGTTGATATACCGAGACCGGATTAGCTAAATGCAATGGTTGTATATCGGGCTGTAGAATCAATGATTAATGCCCTATGCCGGTCATTAAATGCATTTGGCCTACAACCACTCAGTCTCTCGCTTAGGCTGTGTTTGGAATCAATGTAAATCAAGAATGACGTAAAAGTTTATACTGGTTTGGTTTTGTTGGCGTTTGGAAGGAGTGTAAATGAAGATCGATGTAGAACTCCACTCCGGTTTGGATTTGTTGGCGTTTGGATGGAGTGGAGTTTTACATCGTGAATTGATGTAAAACCTCATCAAGCATAAAGTTTTACATCAATTATCGATGTAAATACTACATCGATACTTTTTTATCATGGTTTTCAAAATGTAACGATCACCTATTATACGGCTTAGTGCACTTTTACATTGATAACATTATACACCGGATCCAAATGAAGCCATAGTATTTATGACTGGTGTGAGGCATTATTATTGCTTTCACAGCCCGCTAAATAACCATTGCATTCAACTAATCATTATACCTATGTCTTTTGATCTAGTACTAATTATTTGAACTTAACTATCTCTTATGGTCAATGTTAAAAGTATTGGAAAGACAATTATGAGAAATGAATGGATATACATGGAAACCATGAAAAAATTAGGATAAGTATGACTCTATTAGAGAAACTCAAATAAATCCAAGAAAAATTAATAATATTAAATTTGAGTCTTAGATAACTACAAATAAAGTCTACACACATGAGAAACACATTTTGACAGTTTATGTGAAGTATGAACTATTATAACATATTTGGGATTTATTGAAAAATGATAAAAGAATTAAAATATGAATTTGTATCTTAATTATAAGAAAACTATGATAATTAACGCCATGTTTGGTATTGATGCGATTTTTTTCTTGGTTTTCAGGACACATAGGGGCCACATAAGAAAAAAAAAAATTCCTCCCCACAAGAAATACAAAAAATGACATTTTCTAGAAAAAAACAGCTGTCACAGAAATTGAGACAAAATGTTGACAATATTTTTCAAAAAAATAGTAATAAAATATCAATCAAATAAAAAAAGTTTTTCTATTGGACAGCTTTCAATTAGTAGTGTTTTTCTAAAAAAAAATGGCGATCGTACTAAACAGTACCTAAGTGAAAGGAATTAGGATCTGCTATTCACAGAGCGTTCCTCACACCCTTACAGTCACATTTCACCGTATATTGAGAATATCTCCCATGAATAATAACAAACAAGTAAGGGAAATGTTCCCGATGTACAACTGAAACATGCTGTGAGGAGAAGATCCAGACTCAAGTGAAGGATGGTGTAGTGGGGGCTTATTCACTTTTAAGTTTTAACCTGAAGGTAGGGGTGCAAGTCGGGTGGGTTGGGCTGGGTTTATGGTCAACCCAGGCCCGGCCCTAAAATTTGGGCTTAAGGCCTGAGCTCGAGGTTTAGCCCAATTTTCTCAATCCGAGCCCATCCCGCCTTGTAATTTGATGCACTCGGGTTGGTCAATGAATTCATTCTAAAATTATACATATATAAATGTATTTATGCAAATATATATATATACATATATATTTATGTATGCATGTAAATATGTATGCAACATTTACACACACACACATATATATATATATAATTGGGTCGGGCTCGGGCTCGGGCTGGGTTCAGGCTACCTAAGGGCTAGGCTTGAGTCCAGCCCAAAAAATAAAAAAAAAACCCAACTTCTTGAGCCTGAACCCAGCCCAAGGACCAAAAATCCAAGCCCAGCCTATATAAAATTCCGGGTTGGGCAAATTCAAGCTTGGGATGCCCCGCCCAACTTGCACCCCTATCTAAAGGGTCAAAGTTCATTATCTTCTCACTCATAATTTTTGTACTGAATTTAATGAGATGAATGAGAGAGAAAAGAAAAAGTTTAAATATGGGAGCAAATTTGAATTTGAATGGAGAATCTGATGAGAATCAATGGCATGTGAAAGGCAAAAGATAATTCAAATAAAATAATAAGAGGGGTATCGACCAATATACCCATTCCACTTAGGCCGTGTGCCAAGATACGTATCAACCTTACATTACCTTGATGCTTCTTCATTAATATATTCCTTCAGTATATTCTAAGCTTTCTAAATCGAGATAGATTAGCTGAACACCTTAGCTGTTCAGCAGGCTGTGGAACCAATGATAGGACTCATATCTGTCTTAAAATATATGCGATCTACATTTGTTTAACCTATTAGTGTGGGTCTTATATATTTTATCACTGATGTGGATAAGGGTGTAAACTGATCGAATTCGAATTGAATCATACAAAATTCGAATTCGAATTCAATTAAGTAATTAATAAATATATAAAATATATTTTATTTATATAATTTAATTATATAAAACATTTAAATATTTTATATAAGAATTAAGTAATCGATCAAATTCGTATATTTATTGAATTGAATCAAGTCATATCTGAATTCGAATCTGATTAGCTATTCAATACTTCGACCGATTAAATATACGAATTATCCGATTCGATTATGTCGAATCTTGAATTCGAATACTATTAACACCCCTAGATGTGAGAGTCTTATCATTGGTTCCACAACTGGTTGAATAGCTAAAGAGTTTAGCTAATCCTGAGTTCTTCTAAATCATGATCAATGGATGGTTTCTTATGTCTTTATTTCTTTCTTTTTTTTTTATATTGTTTATAGAATACAAGCAATTCTCTCCCACAAGCAAGGTTCAAATTGTTATATGCATGACAGTCCACGTCACCATGCCTCTCCTTCCTCCAAACCCCTTCCTAATTTTCTTGTCTATTTTTTATTTTTTATTTTTTTAATTCCACATAGTTACCCATTAAACCAATAAGGAAATAACATATGCTTAACTATTTCTAACAACCCATAAAGAAAGAGTGATTCACTTTTCTAATGTAATGGCACCAATTTCCCCCACTTTCTCCTAAATGTTCTCTAATTCATATTTATCTCCTAAATTATCCCTAACTCCTATTTATTTCTTAAATTATCTCTAGTTTAGTAGAGAGGTTCCCTCCTAAACTATCTATAACTTTTATTTATCTTCTCCGGCTCTCCCCCACTTTTTATCTACATCTATCTAAAGAAAGTTACAATTAAAAACATTCAGAATTATTTAAATATTATAACGAAGTTATATACCAACTTTAAAATATTTATGCAAAACACAAAAAATAATTATAATAGATTTAATAATATTCATATTATTAATAATTCTATGTTTTACAAAATTCATCATGAAATTATGTAGTAGCAATATAAATTATAATTTTACGAATTATTCAATTTTAAATGCTATTCAAATAATAAAAATGTAACATTAAAAATAAAGCATTATTTAAATATTTCAATAACTAAATATCTTAAATAAAAAAACATTAAAAATAGCTAAATACTTAATATTACTTAATAACACTAAAATAAATAAAATTCAAATAACAAAAATTTTAAATATTTTACATATTATTTAAATATTTAAATAACAAAATATTTAACATGACTTAATTCTAAATAGTTAAAATAACGAAATTATGTAATAAATTTTAAAAAAATTCTTAAAAATAGAAATATAATTATAATAGATTTCATAATATTCATATTAATAATAATCTAATATTTTACAAAATTAATGATGAATTATGTAATAATAGTACTAATTATAATTTTATGGATTATTAAATTCAATAAATAGTTAATATTCTAAAAAGTTAAATAACAATCTTATTTAAATAACTAAATAGCATTGTTAATAACTAATTTCACTTATATCAATTAATAATTATAGAAAATAACTTTAAAAAAATATTTATTAGTAATAATTTTGCAATAATAGTGTATATTCATTCTATATTTATATATATACTAAAATTAATATTTTTATTTTCAGTAACTATTTATTGTATTTTTGATAAATATTTTTTCAATAATTATTTATACATTTATTTTTGTTTTATTATTTAACAGTAAATTGTCAATAATTATTGGAGATTAAACAACTATTATTTAACTTTTGAAATTTAATTTATTGTATTTTTGTTATAAATTTATTTTTAGTAATTATGTATTTTTATAATTTATTAATTAATATTTATTAGAGTTTAAACTATTATTTGAGATTACACTATTTATTAAATAATATTATATTTTTGTAATTATTATATTTTTATTAGATATCTATTGTATTTTCATTATAAATTTATTTTCAATAATTATGTAGTTTTGCTATAAATTTTCAATAATTATTGGAGACTAAACTAATTTTATTTATTTGAGATTAGATTATTAATTTAGTTGAAATTAAGAGTGTTCAATGATTGGTTCAGTTCGGTTGCAGGCTATTCCGCCAACCAAATTGATCTGGTTAGGTAAGGAGTTTATCACCCAATTAGTGAAAATCTAACAACTTGGATTGTATCAGTTTGGGTTATTTTCGGTTTGGTTTGTTTGTTCACAAGATTTAAACTTAAAAGCTAAATTTAAATTTAATAAATTACAATGATATTATTAAAAAATAATTTATGCTATAAAATATTTTAGGCTAAGAAATATGAGAAATTTCTCACTTTTCTGTATTAAAATATATATATATATATATATATTTAAAATATAAAATATTATGGTCAAATTGAAATTGACAAACTTGTTTGAATTGGGAAATGCCTAGACTAAAGGTGACCGAAAATACTATAAAACTGACCAATTCAAGTTATATTTGATTAGATTGGTTATTAAAAAGTTAAAATATAAAATAATTATATACTCTTATATATTTCAATTGTTTAACTTTCGTGTAACAAATTTCATACATCACATAGTCCCACTATATAAATAAATATATATATATATATATATATATTAATTGATACTTATAATTGTTTTTTTTTATATTTTTTATCCCACATGATAATCGAAAAATAGACTTGGGGATACAAGTGAATTAGCATTTTACACTGCTTCGGACTCTTACCTTCAGCCCATGCACATCCTAAAACTTTTATTATTTTAATTGTTGAGATCATCTGATGTAATACAATGCGATATGCGTCCATATTTAAATGTCAAATTTGTGTTCCAATTTCTTCATTCCGGAGAAGATTCTTTTTGGATTGGCCTTCTAAGTTTGAAACTTGGTACACAGATCAGTTGAATGTTTATATTTTGATAAATCAATGGGCAACCAGATCAACTTGTTTCTTGTTTCTTACTTTATTGCTTAAATGTTTGACTTTGAATAAGCTGATTAACGCAAAAACAAATCAAATTGGGTTTAATTTGTGAAGCGTTTCCTATTGAGGATACGAATTAATGGGTTGGTTAGCATCTATGAGAAATATTTTTATTTATTAAAAATTTAAAATTTGACGATATGATGTCAAATGGGTCAAAATCATTTTATCATTTAAAAATTACTTTTGATTCAAGTGCAGTTCCCTTTTTCTGGGTATTAATTCTTTTTCTTTTATTTAATTTTAAGCCCACAAAACCTTTTTTTCACAAGAAGCTTCCTTGAGCCATGAACATTGAATTGAAGTAAAAAAGTTGCTACCCCAACCTTTGAGAGTAAAATCTCATCACTTTGAACAAATCTCTCTCTCTCTCTCTCTCTACACAAAATCGTTTTTATGTAAGAGAATCTACAATTGGGGATTTTCCACTCTGAATTCTGAAAAGGGGTTGATGCCATTCGTTAATGGAGGATTCTGTCTATGATCAAAAAGTCTGAATGTTTCCCGTCAAAAATAAAAGGCTGAACGTTGAATCTCCACACTCTCAATATGCTCTATCTCAGTCGTTTAGCTCGAAGTGATAGATTTACCTGCTATTTTTCAATTAATGATGATCAACTCCAAGTAGAATTCCGGGAAATTGTCAAGGTCGAGAGCCTGTAACCATCTCTGAGTTTCTGCTAATGGTTCCCGACATCAAGCAGTTTAATCTCTAGGAAATCTTAGCGCTACAACATTTAGAACCCTAGTCGTTCATGGGGAAGGAAAAGACCGTCTCTCAAAGCTGACTTCCACTTAGTTTTCAAAACAAAGAAGAGAATAAGTATTCCTCGCTGTTTAACATGCTCTGGATCTTCTGTTAAAATGACGACTTCTGTACATACGACTCTATGGGACAGTGTAATAGAGCTCACGAAGGGTGCGCAGGATAAGGGTACCGATCCTCTGCTATGGGCAATCCAGCTTTCTTCGAGTTTGAATTCGGCGGGGGTTTCTCTGCCTTCGACGGAGGTGGCTCATCTACTAGTTTCTCATATTTGCTGGGGTAACAACGTTCCTATCACATGGAAATTTCTCGAGAAGACATTGATCGTGAAGATTGCACCTCCAATACTTGTTCTTGCACTTCTATCTTGCAGGTTTTGGCTTAATTTTCTAGTTTTATATCTCTTATTTCATTCTTTCGCTATGGTTCTGAATGATGCTTCTGTTCTTGATTTACTTCTTTCTAGCATGAAGAAAAGGTGCTTGCTTGCCGGATTTCTATTGGTTTGAATTTAGAACTAGCTAGTGCATGATTTTCCTCCTGCTTTCTTCTCATCTAATGTGTACTACTAGACGTAGATAAATGATGATTCTGTGTAATACTCTTTTCCCACTCATTTTAGTGGCAATGGAGGCTTCAATGCAAGTTTGGATATAGTTTGTTCTGGTTTCTTTCTACTTCTACTGTTCAATATTGTTCTGCTTCTGAGCCGTAATAGTGTGTCAGTGTATGTTCTTTTTCTTCTGTTTTTGATCTTATTTTTCTTCTTTGAACTCTGTATGTGTAATCTATAGTTGACTAGCGATGAGATATCTCTCTTGTTAAGCCTTTGGACTTTCTTGATCGATATTTAAAAGATCCTCTTATCTATTTCAATTTTCTTTTACTGAATTGAAAGTTGCAGAGAGTCTTTTACTTGATATGCCAACCTTCTCAAACTTCTCTAATCTGTTCTCTCAATACTGCAAAGTTTTGTTGTTTGACCCATCAAATACATAGCATGATCTTCCTCAAGGATATTTTCGTTTTTTTATTACTTTCTACTGTCTTTTGATTTTTGAAGTACTCTTTCTGTACAGGGTGGTTCCAAGTCGTAGGTCCAGGCCATCAGCATATAGGCTCTACATGGAACTCCTTAAAAGACATGCTTTCTCTTTTAAATCTCAAATTAACAGAGCAAATTGGCAAAAGTGAGGTTTGACCTTATTTAGTATCATTTTTTTGATAATTATCTTATTTAGTATTATTTACTTGAACAACAATAAAAAATATTATTTACGTGAACATCTACCAATACACGCACACATACATGCACACACACACACACACACATACACACTTGAACAGTTGACTGTCTGCTTGCTGCACATTGTTAATATCCTATAGTTTGTCACTTTATGATCTACAAAGCTGTACTCGGCATGTTCTCTTGTGACTGTATGATGTTCCATATTTCCAGTCCCAGTCCCAGGGAAAAAACCCAAAACAACCTTTTCATTCATTAATAGATAATGATGCCCTTCTATCTCAGCAGGGGGTGCATTGTTCAAAGGCCTACCCCTAGTTGTTATTGATTGAATTATTTGTGGTTCTAGAAACTTCCATGGAAATTTGTAGATACTGGACATACTGGGACAGGATATGGCCATAATCGGGCTTTATTGGACTCTTCACGTTAGGGATAAAATTTGGGTTCCCCATATCCCCTCAAAGGTGGCTTTTCTGGTTTGGACAGCAGCTCATGGAAGATGCCGAACTTTAGACAGGTTATTGAGAAGACAAATGCCCCTGCTGAGCTCTTTTTTGCTCCCTTTGCAGTGCTGCTCTAGAATCCATAAACCACCTCTTCCTCCTCTGCAGCTCTTCTCAGCAACTGTGGACAATGGCACTATCCTGCTTGGGTATTCCTTTTGCTTCCTGGAATCTGTTAACTTTTGCAAGACTGGGCAGCTGGAGGTCTGAACAGGGAGGGGTAAACTTTTGTGGAACACCCTCCCAGCTGTGAGTCCGCATCTGCTCCTCATAGAGTCCACCTCATACTGACCTCATAGCCCCATCCCACCGTGTATTAGGAACATCTCCTGTACTTTGTGTTGTTATTCATGGAGAGATGTTCTCAATACACGGTGGGATGGGGCTGTGAGGTGCGCTCTGTGAGGAGCAGATCCTGATTCCCCAGCTGCTATCTTTTGGCTAATCTGGTAGGAAAGAAATCTTTGAATTTTTGACCATAAAGTCTCAAGCATTGAGGAGCTTTTTGTATATTCCAACTGATCTCTTTTTTGCGAGTTGGACCTTTTTTGATTGAGCTTTTTGTATATTCCCGTTGTACAGGTCCTCATTGTACATGAGTTCTTTTTAGTACAATACTTTTTCTTCAAAAAAAAAAAAAATTAGGGATACTATTGCCAGTGCAGCAAGCTGAAAATTTGTAGGGTTTGCAGAAAATGGATGTGCAACTCTGCATTTATGGCTTCCAAGCTTTTTTTTTTGGCTTAACAGCGGCTTGAAAACTGAAATGATCCTATTAGGTAAAGAAAAGGAAAGTTCTAGTTGTAGCTTATTTCTACCACTTCTGTTTGTTACCAGTTGCAGAAAATGGATGTGCAACTCTGCATTTATTGCTTCCAAGCTTTTTTTTTTTGGCTTAACAGCGGCTTGAAAACTGAAATGATCCTATTAGGTAAAGAAACGGAAAGTTCTAGTTTTTTTTGATAAACGAAAAGGAAAGTTCTAGTTGTAGCTTATTTCTACCACTTCTGTTTGTCACCAGTTGCTGTTTGTAGGTAAAGTTTGTCTTGTAAGTCTATGTTCATTCCCACGTGCAACTCTGCATTTATGGCTTCCAAGCTATTTTTTGTCTTAACAGCAACTTGAAAAATGAAAACGATCCTATTAGGTAAAGAAAAGTTCTAGTTGTGGCTTATTTCTACACTTCTGTTTGTTACCAGTTGCTGTTTGTAGGTAAAGTTTGTCTTATAAGTCTATGTTTGTTCCCACATGCAACTCTGCATTTATGGCTTTCAAGCTTTTATTTTTTCCTTTTTAACTCAACAGTGGCTTGAAAACTGAATGATCCTATTAGGTAAAGAAAAGACAAGTTCTAGTTGTGGCTTATTTCTACCACTTCTGTTTGTTACCAGTTGCTGTTTGTAGGTAAAGTTTGTCTTATAAGTCTATGTTCGTTCCCACATGCAACTCTGCATCTATGGCTTTCAAGGTTTTTTTTTTCTCTCCTTTTTGACTCAACATCGGCTTGAAAACTGAATTATCCTATTAGGTAAAAAAAAGAAAAGTTCTAGTTGTGGCTTATTTCTACCACTTCTGTTTGTTACCAGTTGCTGTTTGTAGGTAAAGTTTGTCTTATAACTCTATGTCCCACATGATACCAAAGTTTGTTTATCATTTTCTCTCAACACACTAAATGATTGAATGCTGCCTTGTAATGCAGTTGATTTCCATTCACAAATTGGAACTATGCTAGCTGATTAACCAAGAAACTAGTGAAACATGATGTGGATATAAAACTTGAAGGCAATAGTTAAGACATGACACTTAAAGCTGTAAATGGTCATCACGGTTGACCTCAACAGATTGGACATGTAATTAAATAAATCTAAGATAAGTAAATCCAAAAGTGCCACTTGAAATATTTTTTCTGCATACAACTTCATTTCTGCTACATTCTGAATGTTATTCTTAGGTGCCTAAAAGTCCTAAACTGAGAGATCAGAAACAATAAAAGCTCTACCTACACCTACATCTTACTCCTACCTTGCATTCTTCATTAATTGAATACCATTTTTTCAATGTTGTTGTTGTCGTTGTTGTCATGTATTGTTTTTTCTTCCAATTAATGCTACTTTGATCAGTAACTAAAACTATAATCACATGTGAGTTGTCCTTGTTATGCAGGATCATGAAGTCTATAGATGATGTTCTTCATCTTTCCCACATATTTGGTCTTCAAGCATGTGAATCGGGGGTTCTAGTTGTTGAATTTTTCTTCGCAATTGTATGGCAGTTACTTGATGCAACATTAGATGATGAAGGATTGCTGGAACTGACCCCAGAAAAGGAGTCCAAATGGGCAATTAGGCCACAAGACATGGAAGTAGATGTTCATGATAGTTTTGGTGAAAGGAGAACTGAACATAAAGATAGACTGCACAAAGCAAATACTGTGATGGCTATTGAGCTAATTGGGCAATTTTTGCAAAATAAAGCAACTTCCAAGATTCTTTACTTGGCACGAAGAAACATGTAAAACCTCGCACCCTTAAACATGTATCTGCATTTTATTTTGTACTTCATGTGCCACAGTTGTTAGTTTTGTTGATTTTGTGTAGGTATGGACCATCAGATCTTCTGTGATTTACTTTTCTTTAACTAATAACTAGCATCTGGGCAGAACTTTGATTAATTACTGGTGTAGGACTAGGAGAAGAGCCATACCAGGGTTTATGTGGTGGGTAAAGAAGAGAGATGACAAAAAGGAGAAAGGGCGCAAAAAGCAATGAGATAGGTGGAAGTGATCAAAGGGGGGGTCTACGATGCAGGTTCAATACTTGGATTCCCAATTAGGGAAGGAGCAAGAAGTAAACAAGGTAAGTGTTGATAGTGTTAATTCGGGTGAGAACTCGCCAATTCAAACAGGAGACAAAAAGGAGGATGATTCAGATAGCGTGCCTATCCAGAATTTAGTGGAAAGAGAGGTAACGATCATTAAAAGCCTGGGTTTATCTTTTTGGGGTGGTGAGGAATTTGCTAGAAGGGCCTTTGAGAAGTGGAAAAGAAGGGATGAGAAGTTGAATAAAAAAGCTCGATTGGAAGGAGGCAAGGTTTGGGATGAGGATGATTCAGGGCAAGAAGATGTTCTAGTGGATGAAGATTGAGGTTGTGCTCTTTTCGCTAGTAGAGGCTTAGTCGGTTCAGGTGTCTCTCTGGTGGTGGTCCCAGTTCAAGGGGTCTCCATTTTCTTCCTGGGGTTTTTAGCTGTTCTCCGGTAGAGTTTGGTCTCTATCTGTTTGTGTGGCTTTGGGTTGGTTTGGGATTGTTGCTGTCTCTGTAAGGGTCTTTTAGTTGTGCATCTCTCTTGGGTGATACCTTATCACCTTTCTATTGTATTCCTTTTTCTTTTTAATGAAAAATTTTCCTTATTCTTCTTCTTCAAAAAAAAAAAAAATGAAGAGAGATGACTTATAGAACATGAGAAGAGAGGTTGCAGTAAAGGCATATAATTAAGGGAAGAATAAATAGAAAGAGAAATACACATAGACAATAGGGTTAGAATAGCCTTTACAAGACCAATTACCATTACTTGGTGTGGTAAAATCTTGGGATGGTAAGTGTGAGAGTGCAGCTTTGAGTCTGAGGGCTGCCACTTTGTGTGAAAAAAATTCCAAAGGTTAGTACTGTAACCAGTTTACCCATCCCAAGGCCCCAGATAGCTGGGATCAACATTGGGTAATGGCCTTTATATCCTAATAACAATTATCCAATGTTGGTTCCAGATATCCAGGGTCTTGGGAGAGGTGGAATGGATACAGACCTATCTTTTGCACAAAGTGGCCTCTCTTAGACTTGAACCAGCATTACTAATAAAAAAAGAAAAAAATAAATAAAGAAAAGCACTTGAACCAACATTTTCATGCTTGTTAGCCTGGGATTTTACCATTGCACTAAGCAATGCCCTCGCTTCTAGATACCCTAATACACATTCTAACTGATAAACTTATTAAAAGATACAATTCAAAAATCTTTCCAAATCTGAAAACTGCATAAATTTAGAAAAGCACCTTTCCAGACACCAAAACTCTGTAACCAAATAACTACTAAGCTACTACTCCTACCATTGATGTTCTTTAAGTGCCTTCTAGTGATTGCCTGGGCTTGTGGATCCATAGGGACCTTGTAGGCACCACACTTAAAAACCTTGGTTTTTGTGCAAAATCTCCAAATTGCATATTAGATCCTTTCCCCATCATTTTCTTTCCTTTTGCTATTCTTACTCTGCATTATAGGATCAACTACATTATGACTCGGATGGTTTTGTTGAATGAAAGGTGTCTGCTTTTACTAACCTTGCTACTATCCTAGGCCCTTGCATTGGGGAAGTTTCACTCAGCGTTTACAATTGCTTGGAGCAAATTCATCAGCACTGAGAAGTTCAAAAATATCTTCAGATGCTCTGCTGCAGTTGTCATCAGATACATGTAAAATTTTTTCTCGGGGATGCAGAATGAGTACACAACAGGAGTTCCATGCAGTCATGGCTTCTGGATCTATGACCTTTTCTGCAGGGCAGTGTTATTGGGCTAGTCAATCTTCAGTTTGGCTCCCTCTTGATCTGTTTCTAGAAGATTCTATGGATGGTTCCCAAGTTGCAGCAACAAGTGCAATTGAAACTCTTTCTGGTATGGGCCGTCTCTTTTACTCCAGTGCTTGAAATAAATATCCTTTGATATTGTTACTTTTCTCTCACTGGCCGCTTCATGTGGCTATGTCTATAGTATAACACTTTTTAATGTATACAGGTTTGGTAAAGTCTCTTCGAGCAGTTAACTGTGCAACCTGGCACAACGCATTTCTAGGTCTTTGGATAGCAGCTCTTCGCCATGTCCAAAGGGTATGAGTAATTATATGAACAGGATTGAACCTTTTTCTTTTCTTTCCCTTTCTCTTCTTCCCCCTTCCCCTCTTTTACCATAAGAACTCGCAATTTTTCTGTAGAGAACACTGATGTGGACCCCACGGCTGTGGTCCCCACTGTGTTCGTATGGCAGCACAGCATGTATTCTTTGTTAGTTGGTAGTTATTTCAGTTTGTTGTTACATCTTGTTATTTCAGCTTTATTATTAGTTTATTTGCCATGTAAGCAATAAGGGCAATTCAGCCTTTTTACAATTAGTAAACATATGAATATTAAGAGTGGGTCGGAAGATCATAACAATTCGACCCTCTCTCTCTCCTTTTCTAAAACCCTTCGTGTGCTTCTGCTTTTCTCCCTTATTTCTTCTTCTTTTCTCCTTCTGAAATCCTTTCTTTTTACTTTCGGATTCAAGACTGATTGTAGTCTTGATCGACTACTTGGTATCAGAGCAAGGATTAGGGTTTCTCADGTGAGTCTGATYCAGCCAACCACATGAGAGTTGCCTAGGGCTGGGAGACTAAGAAGGAGGATTGGCTGATTCTTGGAGGCTACTGGTAGTGTGCGGCTACTACTAAGAAGATTGTAGAAGGCTAGGAGAGTTCCAGTAGTCAGGAAGAATTAGAAAAGGCTTTGGATCCCCAAGATTAGGGTTTCACATCAGACAGAAGGCGGCGGCCAAAGATCTTCTTTCACAAAGCAAGTTTTTGCTTGAGAACAACCTTGAAAGAACCATCTTGGTCTATTCTGAGGGGTGCAGCTGAAACTTTTTTCTCTTTAGGGTTTTGAGAGAAAACCCTAAAATTCAGAACTGTCGATTGGTTTCAGATCAGATCTGAACTGGGTTCACCCTAAAAATTCAGAACTGTCGATTGGTTTCAGATCAGATCTGAACTGGGTTCACCCTAAAAATTCAGAAATGTCGATTGGTTTCAGATCAGATCTGAACTGGGTTCATACAGAATTCTGTTTTCCCCTTGTTTGTGGAAGACCTAGGCCGGCTGTTATCA